TCATCTACAAAAATAAACTCAAAATGAATTAAAGACTTCAATGTTAGTCCCAGTTGGTTTGGCTCAGTGGATAGAGTGTCGACCTGTAGACTAAATGGTCCTGGGCTCAATTCTGGTCAAGGGCACATGCCTGGGTTGTGGGCTCGATCCCTAGTAGGAGGTGTGCAGGAGGCAGATAATCAATGATTCTCTCTCATCATTGATGTTTCTATCTCTCGCTCCCTCTCCCATCCTCTCTGAAATCAATAAAAATATATATTTAAAAAAATAAAAAATAAATAAAGACTTCAATGTTAGACTCGAAACCATAAAACTTCTAGAAGAAAACATAGGCAGTAAAATCTCAGACATTTCTCACAGTAATATTTTTTCTGATATATCTACTTGGACAAGAGAAACAAAAGAAAAAAATAAAGAAATACGATTACATAAAACTAAAAAGCTTTTGCACAGCAAAACCATTATCAAAATGAAAAGACAACCCACTCAATGGAAGAACATATTTGCTGATACATCTGATAAGGTGTTAGTATCCAAGGTTTATAAATAATTTATAAAACTCAATACCAAAAAAAAAAAGCAAACAATTCAAATAAAAAATGGGCAAAGGACCTGAATAGAAATTTCTTCACAGAGGGCATACAGATGGCCAACAGACATATGAAAACATCACTAATCATCAGAGAAATGCAAATTAAAACCACAATGGCTATCACCTCACACCTGTCAGAATAACTATTGTCAATAAATCAATGTTTGGAGAGGATGTGGAGGAAAGGGGACCTTTGTGCACTATTGGTGGGAATACAGATTGGTGCAGTCACTGTGAAAAGCAGTATGGAGTCACCTCAAAAAAATTAAAAATAGAACTGCCTTATGACCCAGTGATACCACTTCTGGGAATTTATTTGAAGAAACCCAAAACATTCATTCAAAAGAATATATGCACCCCTATGTTCATTGCAGAGTTATTTAAAATAGCCAAAATTTGGAAGCAGCCCAAGTGTCCATCAGTAGATGAGTAGATAAAAAAAGCTATGGTACATTTAAACAATGAAATACTACTCAGCTATAAAAAAAGAAGGAAATCTTACCTTTTGTGACAGCATAGATGGACCTGGAGAGCATTATGCTAAGTGAAATAAGCGAGTCAGAGAAAGACGAGTACCATATGATTGCACTCATGTGGAAACAAAATGAACTAACAAGCAAAATAAACAGACTCATAGACAGAGAGCAGGCTGGGAGCTGAGGGGGTGAGAGGGTTGGGAGGCTGGGGGATGGTTGGAGGGATTGAGCAAAAAGAAAAAAAGAAAAAACTCATGGACACTGACAACAGTGTGGTGACTGCTGAGGGGAGAGGGGTGGGGGAAAAGTGGAAGGGCATATGGGATGATAAATGGTGATGGAAGTAGACATGACTTGGTATGGTGAACACACAATATAGTTTACAGATTATGTGGAATTGTGCACCTGAAACTTGTACAATTTTGTTAACTAATGTCACCCCCATGGATTCAATAAAAAGGAAAACAAAAAAGAAAATGAAAAGTCAAGCTAACAAATAGGAGATAATATTTGCAAATTATATATCTAATAAAAGACTTATATTCAGAAAAATAATAAAGGCATGCAAATTTTAATAAAAGTTTTAAGATAAATAGAAAAGGTTATAGAAAAAAAGGCCACAATGAATAAAAACTGACAAAGAAGGATGTTTCACATTCTTTTCCATGTGCATAATGCTGTGGAAATTACTAAACAGTCATAAACAAGTAAATCATATTGAGGGCACAGTCTTTTTGAGGGAAAATAATAAGGGTTGGGGATTAGGAGATTTTTGAAAAAAGTGTCTGGCAAAGTATCTATGTGTAACAGTTTGCCTGAGACAGTACCAAATTATGCCCACTGTCTCAACCAATTTATTATTTGTCCTGGATTTCTCATTTTCTAGTGATTTTTTTTAAAGTAGTATAATAAGCCAGGACTTTTATTTTCAGGTTCTGCCATAATCTCATTGAGCAGTGTGAAATGCATGTGCAGTGAACCTAGTGCCATTTAACATGTGGTTAAATCTGAAAGGCCCTGAGCAGTAGCCCATCCCTGGATGGACTGTAACTGATGGGCTGTAACTATAACTTCATCCTCAAATATAGCATCCAAGCCATTTACAGAAAAAGGAGCATTCAGGAGTAGCCAGGGAAAACTGACTCCTTTAGTCTTAGATGAAGGTCGAAGAAATATTCAATGCTGCTGCCCCTGCTTATGCCTAGCTTGATTACACCAAGAAAAGCATATGGAGAAGATGTTTTAAATATTACTCTATAAAGCATGGCTTTCCAATTAGGTCAAATGACTGTTCTTTAAATACATATGTATAATCCATAGACACACACAACAGTATGGTGATGGCCAGAGGGAAGGAGGGTGGGGGTGGGCTGGGTAGAGGTGGGAAAAGGGAGGGGAAATGAGGACATCTGTAATAGTGTCAACAATAAAAATAAAAAAAGACTGTTCTTTACATTTCTTAGTCAGCTATGATTACAAATTATCTTATTTAAATAGTCAAAGTTAAGTGACAGCTGATATTTTGCTGGCTCTATTAGCAGAAGAAATTCACACTTAAATGATGGTAGCTTCTTATCAGTGTCAGGAGATATATCAACTAGAAAAATCAGTTAATTCTAATAATTGTTTGATTGTTTTCACATAATCCATCAAAGTAAAGCTTTTGGAAGTTCATTCTGTCAAACGTGAAACACCAGTCATTGCTGTAATTGCTACTTAAACTGAGTAAAAATGTTCAACAACAAAGATAAAATTATAGACCATTTCATTATTCAAAGTAACTAAGCTCTATAAAGCCACCATGAACACTGAATTTATGAAAAGCAAACCATTGCTCTTAGAGGAAATACAGTTAGGCTCCTGTGAGCTTTGGCCACAACGATTTCATCAACTAATTAAACATAACCTTGTTTTATGTGCATTTCTAAAGACACTTTAATATAAGTTGTTGAATCAATAACATTGACCTCACAGTCAATAGAATTAATTCATGCATGAATGAAGCTTTTTATTAAATTTATTGTTGACAATATTATAGAAGTCCCCCATTTTCCCCAACTTTGTACCCTCCACCCAGCACCCACCCCACACTAGGCTTCCCCATACTATTTTCTGTGTCCATGGGCTATGCATATATGGGTATAAATTCTTTGGTTAATCTCTTCCCATGCCGCCCACACACCTCTCCTTTGAGATCTGTCGATCTGTTCCATGCATCTATGTTTCTGGAACTATTTCGGTCCTCAGTTTCTTTTGTTCACTAGATTCAACATATAAGTGAGATCATGTGATATCTGTGTTTCTCTGACTGGATTATTTCACTGAGCATAATAATCTCCAGGTCCCTCCATGCTGTCTAAAAGAGTAAGAGATTCTTCTTTTTTACTGCTACATAGTATTCCATCGTGTAGATGTACCACAGTTTTCTTATCCACTCATCTACTGATGGGCACTTGGGCTGCTTCCAGATCTTAGCTATTGTAAATAGTGCTGCTATGAACATAGGGGTGCATATGTTCTTTCTGATTGGTGTTTGGAGATTCTTAGGATATAGTCTCAGAAGTGGGATTATTGGGTCAAACAGCAGTTCCATATTTAATTTTTTGAGGAAACTCTTTACTGTTTTCCCCAATGGCTGCATCAATCTGCATTGCCACCAACAGTGTACAAGGGTTCCCTTTTTTCCTCATCCTTGCTAGCACTTGCTGTTGTTGATTTATTGATGTTAGCCATTCTGGCAGGTGTGAGGTGATACTTCATTGTAGTTTTGATTTGCATTTCTCCAATGATAACATTGAGCATTTTTTCATATGTCTATTGGCCATCTGTATATCCTCTTTGGAGAAATGTCTATTAGGTCCTTTGCCCATTTTTTAATTGGATTGTTTATCTTCCTGGTGTTGAGTTGGATGAATTGTTTATATATTTTGAAAATTAAGCACTTATCAGATATATCATTGGTAAATGTTTCCCCATACAGTGGATTCCCTTTTCATTTTGTTGATGGTTTCTTTTGCTGTGCAGAAGCTTTTTAGTTTGATGTAATCCAATTTGTTTATTTTTTTTCCTT